CCTCAAGCTAGTGAAAAGTAAACAGAACATACGCTTGATCGGTGTCCAGGGCTGGCTACTGAAGTCACGATAATGCATGTGTATAGTGTTTACGGTGTCATGTTGAGTTTGCGCTATGTGAAGAATGTCCACTCTCACGTTCCTTCCAGTGGACAGATCATCTGTGCGTGTACGGTTTCCCCTCCCATCCCATCCTACTCTGTCTTGTCCGGCGCCGTCCCATTCGCGTTGCTGGGTTAAGTTAAACAACTCTTGGGGGGTAGATGGAATATGATTGGTCGGGTGCTGTTAAGTTTCAACAAACTGTTCCTCTTTTATTCCTTCACGCTCTCGTCTGGTCTGTTCTCGTGTCAGTTCTGGAGTTCAGCCACTTGTGTGCACCGGTCTGTGCGTATGGATAGTGCCTTGGTACTGTGTTATGTATAACGATACCTGAAACATCTTAATCAAGATAACAGTCACGCATTTGTTTAACATTTCTGACAATTTATAGATCTATTTGCAATACGCATACTAAATGACATGTTTTACATGATTTTAATAGTGTATTTTTAACTACAGCAACAGATTTTAATGTTACTTTCGTCATTAGTGGTATTTTCTGCATGTAACTTACGCACTGTGACATATCTCCGTTTTTACGTGTATCGATTTGTAAAACACTTACTTAAGATCATTCTAACGTTCAAAATATCTTGTAAGATGCTTCCGGCATTACGTCATTTCGTGTCATACCAGCAGCAACAGCAAGAAAACAGCGATATCAGTAGTGTCATGTTAAGTGGTTACAATTCTGCACCATCTCTGCCAGCTTCGCAGCATTTGATGGCACTTTCTGAAGCCGCAGCAGTAGCTGCTACGTCTGCCTTTCCCCAGGAGTTCTCTCCCCTTTTAATGCCTTTTACCAAGCCGTCTTTATATACCAACCACCTTGTTCTTGATCAACATTTGCCATTATTCCTGCCAAGCCACAGCGGTGGGAAAGTTTCAGCTCACCCATACCTTCTTCCGCACAGCCCCCGTCCGGAGAAGCCACCGTACTCCTACATAGCTCTTATCGCAATGGCAATATCGTCTGCACCCAATCAGAGGATAACACTAAACGGAATTTACAAGTTTATTATGGAAAGATTTCCATATTATCGTGATAACAAACAAGGCTGGCAGAATTCTATAAGACATAACTTGAGTCTCAACGATTGTTTTGTGAAAGTGCCACGGGAGAAGACAGGAGCTGATGGCGGTAATAGTGGTGGTAAAGGCAGCTACTGGACACTGGACCCATGTGAGGCCGACATGTTTGAGCGAGGGAACTACCGTCGGCGACGCACCAGGAGACAAAGAGCTGAGCGAGGCGGTACGAGAGCCACGCAACAGTCGGTGAGCGAGTCTGTACAGTCGCTATGTTTGTAATCTGGCCTTATCAGATTAGCCTTTCACTGGCCTGTCTGCGTCACGGAGAAATGTGGACGATAGACGCACTGGCATGGCCGGATTTACATTTGTGGGGCGGGGGCCCTATCAGCAACAACAAATTTATATCGTGGCAATTCTTCTTTTTATAATTTATTGTTATAACTAAAAATGCAAAAAAAAAAGTTTTTCCTGATTTTGGAGAAACAAATGTCGGAATAAAATATGTGGGTTCTATTTTTGTTTCGTGGAAGCTCCGGGGCGAAGGCCCCCGATCATTCCTCCTTAAATCCACCCTCGTATTTTGATATTTTAAATTATGGTTAGGCTTAAATTGTATTACGTTGATATAAAATCCCACGAAAAATGTTTAGCTGGCTCCAAAGACATGACATTGGCACGAACACACGGACAGCGACAAAGACAAAGATGATACCGTCCCACTAAATAGGGGAAGAAGGCTAGAAACAAGTGTATACGTGTGAACCATCGGAAATAACCTTCATATTAATGTTATCAGGATCGACTTATCTGTAGAAATGATCATTAAATAAAAGTTGAACCACTTTTACGATAGGGAACACGCTGCAGCGTAGTTGGTCGAGGGACAATGCCACAAGCCGGAAGGTTGCGGGTTCGATTCCCGATGAGGTCATTGCATTTTTCGATTGATCTAATCCTTCCAGCCGCGCCATGCCCTGGGGTATAGGGCGGCCGGCGCGGAAGACTGACAATTTCACTGCCATCTATAAGCCGATGGGAGCCTCGACTTCTCAGATCCCTACGGGCCCTCGGGCCCTGTTGCAGTGATAACTTTACGTTTTCTAGGATCTGTAACTTCTGTATTAACGGGGCACTCGGTAGCGAAGTTGGTTGAGGCATTATGCTACAAACCGGAAGGTTACGGGTTCGGTTCCCGATGAAGTCATTGGATTTTTTATTAGCCTAATCCTTCCAGCCGCACTATGGCCCTGGGGTCGACTCAGCCTCTAACAGAAATGAGTACCAGGAACCTTCCTGGGGAGTAAAGGGCGGCTGGCGCGTAAGGCTGACAGTCTCACCGCCATCTGTGAGCTGAATGTCTAGAAACTGTGGGATCCTCGACATCTCAGAGTCCTAAGGGCCTCCATGGCCTGTTACGGTGATAGTTTAAATGAAATTAAACTTCCGCTTTAAACTTTTGTGTAGTGTGTGTATATAAGGAAATGTACATAAGCATTTATATACGAACGTGCATGAAATGGATGAATATATTACATAGAACTGTAGGAGGCGCTGGGAAGTAAAAAAATACTTTGTGAATGTCACGCAGGAGCTTCGCAAACAAAAGGTGATCTGGCCTTACTGCATTTTATTCTTGTAACACTAAGAGAAGTTGCCGTTAGGGGACCTAGAAGCAGAAAGAAAGGAAATAAAATGTATATTAAAGGAATACTTCTAAAAACATCGACTCTATTCATCATGGTTCGGTTTAGGGTCAATTGGCGGGCCTTTATGTACACCACAATGGATCTTCCGAATGCGGTTAATTTATTCATTAGCGCATGAACTCTCAAATTTTGTGATACTGCAGCAGCCCAAAATAATACATGTATTTATGCGACCGCCCATCTCAGCCTGTCAGTAAAAAGTGCAATTCTGTAGATTCTTGCAGCTCTGACAGTAGAACGTGAATAGCTTCACCGCTTCTGCGCTTACAGTAAGCTGTAGAATGTTATGTAGTCCAACTGTGAATTCCGCAAAGCACCACCCATGGGCTCTACAATAATTGATAGTAGTACACTAGTTTATCAACAGGTGGCCCCTTGACTTCTTCCGTTCCACAAATTCCAGTTCCAGTGAGGTATAAATTCTTTAACAGGCCGTGGAGACCCATAGGGTTGTGAGACGTCGAGGCTTCCACATTTTCTAGACAATCGTCTCACAGATGGTGGTAAGGTCAGCCTTACACGCCGGCCGCCTTTTACCCCCAGGAAGATACCTGGTACTCGTTTCTGTCAGAGGCTGAGTCGACCCCAGGGCCATAGTGCGACTGAAAGGATTAGGTCAATTTGAAAATCCAGTGACCTCAACGGGAATCATAACAGCGAACTTCCGACTTGTAGGATAGTGCCCCAACCAACTACGCATTCACTCTATATATATGAAGTATAATCTGAATACAGTTTACCGTACTTAATTAATCACCATGCCATGAAGGTAAATGGGGAGTGGTGGTATAGCTCCAGGCGTTCTTACTGTCGGTACTAGAAGGAGATGAGTATTTGGTTTCACTCCGCGACCTCGGCGCAGGATAAGAAACCTGGTACCCATTAGATAGGCTGGGTGAGCCCACAGCTGGTCTGGATAGCGAAGCCAAATAGCTCTTGTCCTTTCTTCCGACGTCTAGCCCGCAGCCTAGTGAGCTGTCTCGGCTCCTGTGTAAGTGTACAGACGTATGAACTTGAACAATTATTGTACAACTATTACATTTTTAGCAACAGAGTAGTTGGTGTTGAACATTGAGAGCAGCTGGTCAGTGTGAAGATTTTAATGATTTTCCTTGGCCCTTTCAGGCAACCGCTCAGATTTTACTTTGAAACTGGCCCCGATCGCTTATTCGATATATGTAGTTTGTATAATTCATAATTATGCTGCCTTTCTAGGCTATGTAGTCTACATATCTGATGCATAAGCCACAAAACATCGAACATATCGAAAGACTAAGAAAAAAAAAAGTAAAGCTGTAGGGCTGTGAGACGTTGAGGGTCCCACATTATCTAGACAGTCGGCTCAAAGATGGCCGTAAGGTTGTCAGCTTAACGCGCCGGCCGCGCTTTACTTACCAGGAAAATTATTTAATTAATTCCTAGTACTCATTACTGTTAAGAGGCTGAGTAAACCCCATGGCCATAGTGCGGCTGGAAGAATTAGGGCTTAGAAAAACCATGGAAATTATTTTGGTTGGCCACGACTGGCATTCTAGAATTAAATACAGGCTCTTTATGAACTTGACAAATTCTGTGTAATATATTCCATAACTAACTGACTCCCTGCAGCTGAGACCTTCTTCAGAAAGCAACAGTCGCTTAGCTACTCAAGAAATTCCCAAGATTTTATAGAACCCAAAGGCTCATTACCCTGTTCACAACAGCCGCCACTGGTCCCTATCCTGAGCCAGATCAATCCAGTCCATACCACCCCACCCTATTTCTTTAAGATCCATTTAATATTATTCTCCCACATATAACTTATTCTTCCTAGTGGTCTCTTTGCTTCCGGCCTTCCCACCAAAAAACTACATACACTCATCTTCTCCCAGTGCCTTCTACATGTCCTCCCCCAACTCATCCTCCTTGACTTGATTTTTCTAATTATAACTGGAGAAGAGTACATGTTATGAAGCTCCTCATTATGCAGTTTTCTCCAACCTCCTGTCACTTCATCTCTCTTCGGTCCAAATATTCTTCTCAGCGCCCTGTTCTCAAACACTCTCAGTCTATGTTCCTCCCTTAATGTCAGAGACAAAGTTTCACATCCATACAGAACCGCAGGTAAAATTATAGTTTTGTGTGTTCCAATTTTTACGTTCTTAGACAGCAGACGAGAAGACAAAAGCTTCTCGGCTGAATGGTAGCAAGCTTTACGCGAATTTAATCTGCTCTGAATTTCCTCGTGAATCAGATTTGAATTTGTTACTGTCGTTCACAAATTTTGAAATTTTCCACATTTTCAATGTATCTGTTATGATTTTGTCCTGCATTCTCGTGACAAGGAGATCCGGGATAGCTCAGTCGGCATAGCGACTGGCTACTGGTTGGACGATCGAGGGGTCGGAATTTTGGTCCCGTTGGGGTCAAGAATTTTCTCTTCTCCACGTTAAACCGACCTGCTCAAGGGTCCACCTAACCTCCTATCCAATAAGTACTGGGGGTTCTGTACCCGGCGGTAAAGCGGCCGGGGCGTGAAACTGACCACACACTTCCAAGTAGTGCTGTGGTCAAAAGAATGTGGATCTATACATCCATTCCTCCATACGCCTTCATGGCACAGTGCTTAAGTAAGCACAAGGACAAATTTACCTTACCGTCTAGTGAGGTAAAGGTAAAGCTATCCCTGTAACAGGCCTTGAAGGCCCATAGGGTTGTGAGACGTCGAGGCTCCCACATTTTCTCTAGATAATCGGCTCACAGGGAGGTTGTCAGCCTTACGCGCCGGCCGCCCTTTACTCACCAGGAATATCCCTGGTACTCATTTCTGTTAAGAGGCTGAGTCAACCCCAGGGCCGTAGTGCGGCTGGAAGGATTATGTAAATTGAAAAAATCCACCTCATCGGCATTCGAACCTGCGACCAACCAGTTTGTAGCATAGTGCCTCAACCAAGTACGCTACCGCGTGCCCCCACTCTCTAGTGACCAGACATAAAGAAAATTAATGACATGTCTTTCATTTCACAGTTGGCGAGCTGCATTTCACAGTTGGTGAGCTGTACAGGGACTAATGTCAAGGACTGCCACGCAGAAAGTTCTTCTGTGATCCCTGTGGAAGAAGTGTGTGCAAGAAGCCCGAAGAACGAACAGCAGGACTGCGAAGACTCCCCAGGAAGCAAAGAGGAAGAAGAAACCGACGTGCCATCAACAACAAATGCAGATGACGATCACTTAACTCCCAGCAAACCGTCTTTGTTTACCATAGAATATCTGATGAAAATGCCATCAGCCGTGCCATCTAGGCGAGAAAAGTCTGCACTTAAACTTTAATTACAAGTACAGAGGTGGAAATATGTAGTTTAATTGAAATAATGTCCTAAGAAACAGAATAAATGTGATTTTTCCTGACGCTGGTGATTGTCCAGTGATGACTGGCACGCTGCTGTGCTTTGAGGCTTCGCTAGAGACAAGGAAAACACTTGAAACTGCAAAATTCTAGTTATACACTTACTTTAGTTCGAACGAACTACTGGATACAAAATATGAGTAACTGGTTAAGACTACACATCATGAACTGATTGTTTCGTTCGTGAGGTCCACAGCCGTTGGAAGGACAGTGTAAACAGGACTGACAATTTCTGTGTTTTAGAAGACTTGCGTCTTGCCAAATTAAGTTTTTTCTTTAATCAGATCGTTAACCATCACCCTCAGTGATCTGGTTGACCTCGAAGTCCGACAGAATATGTACTGGCCTCAGGAGTGTGCTCGTGTATAATATTTGGGCCCATATACAACCTACTTACAATTACCGCTTTTCCATATTTTGCAGTAAAGTTACACAGTGTTATTGTTTATGGATCTGAATATGCCAACGCAAATTACACGCGTGTTTCAAACGTTCATCGCCAGATGGGGTGGACTGAATGGAACATCGTCTTGCGATGTCTCTGCATCTTCATGACTCAGTTTAAAAACAAATCAGATTTGATAGTGTATAATGTAGGATCTAAAAGTTTGTAACAATGGTATATCAATACAATTACTGTCTTTCTGGACATTATCTGTCTACCTGTTTTTTGTTTAAAGTATTTCGGGGACTGGATTCTCTTTCCTTCTATGGTGAAAGCTGTTCAGTTATCTTGTGTTATTGCTAGTGTCCGGAGATAAGGACTAGCTCCATCGATTGGGCGCAGACATGTAAGTTCTACCTGAAGACGGAGACAGAATCCAGTCTCCGAAAGTATGTGTGCTTTAAATAAAAAAAAACAACATGGATAATGTTAAGAAACACAATAAATGTAGAGTGTAAGATTTGAGGTTTTCACGGCGGTGACTATGAAGAAAGCCGTCTTCTGGCATGTGGCGCCGTGTAGATATTGTTTCAACCGACGTTTCTGAGGAACTTATCGCCTCCATCTTCAGGGTAGAAGAAAAAAAGAAGAAAATCCGCGAGCGAGGAACCAGCGTGAAGAGGTGCTAACAGACCCTGAACATGGAGGCGATACGTTCCTCCGAAATGTCGGTTAACAATATCTAAACGACGCCACATCCCAGAAGACTGCTTTCTTCAAGTGTATAGTGTGTTTGTCATTAAACATTTCATGACGACCCCCAAAAGCGATGAGATTGTATCTGTTTTAATTAGAGGTTGTGTGTGCCTCTGGGAACCACTGGCGTAGATTAAGAAGCTGGAAAGCATTTTAAAGAACGTTTGGAGATCCCCATGCCTACAAGACCATAGTACTCCCCCGGATTACATACTCATCCAGTACATTCAAGTAACTGCCGTTCTCCTGTTCTTACTTACTCATGGAGCTGAGCCCTTCTGGAGGAGCTGCCAATTCTGCAGTTCCTCAAGAATTTCCCAGCATTTTATGGAACCCGAAGGTTCATCACCGTGTTCACAAGAGATCTCCACCGGTCCCTATCCTGAGCCAGACCTATCCAATCCATAGCATCCCATCCTATCTCTCTAAGATCAATTCTAATATTGTCCACCCATCTACGCCTTGGTCTTCCCTGTGGTCTCTTTCCTTCTGGCTTTTCCACCAATATCCTATACGCATTCCTCATCTCCCCCATTCGTGCTGCATGACCTGCCCATCTCATCCTCCTTGACTTGATTATTCTAATTATACTTGGAGAAGAGTACAAGTTATGAAGCTCCTCATTATGCAGTTTTCTCCAACCTCCTGTCACTTCATCTCTCTTCGGTCCAAATATTCTCCTCATCACCCTGTTCTCAAACACCCTCAGTCTATGTTCCTCCCTTAATGTCAGAGACCAAGTTTCACACCCATACAGAACCACAGGCAAAATTATAGTTTTGTATATTCTAATTTTTATGTTTTTGGACACCAAACGAGAAGACAAAAGGTTCTGGACTGAATGGTAGCAAGCATTACCCGAGTTGAATCTTCTCTTAATTTCCTACTGAATCAGGTTTCGATCTGTTATCCTTCCCAAATATCTGAATTGTGTCACATTTCCAAAACATCTGTTTCCTATCTTTATGTCATGATTTTGCCCTGCATTTTGGTGACGAGACAGTAACATATACTTAGTTTTCTCTGTGTTTACTTCTAGACCAACCTCTTCTCCTGTTCTTTAACAGATATTTTATGTCCGATAGATAGCCCACTGTACACTACTGTGTTTAGTTCCTTATATGGCACAAAATTATCATTGTAAAGTAAAAGTAAAGTAAGTAAAGGTATCCCTGCAACAGGCCATGAAGGCCCATAAGGTTGCGAGACGTCGAGGCTTCCACATTATCTAGACAACTGGCTCAAGGATGGCGGTAAGGTTGTCAGCCTTTACATGCCCGCTGTCCTTTAGCCCCCAGGAAGATTCCTTGTACTCATTTCTGTTAGAGGCTGAGTCGATCCCAGGGCCATAGCGCGGCTGGAAGTATTAGGTCAATTGAAATAAATCCAATGACTTCATCGGGACTTGAACCCGCGACCTTCCGGCTTGTAGCATAGTGCCTAAACCAACTACGCTACCGCTTGCCCCAAAATTATTATTGTATTTCGGCTTATTATTTTTTTCTGTATGGGTGTGAAACTTGGTCTCTGACATTAAAGGGGGAACATAGACTGAGGGTGTTTGAGAACAGGGTGTTGAGGAGAATATTTGGACCGAAGAGAGATGAAGTGACAGGAGGTTGGAGAAAACTGCATGAGGAGCTTCATAACTTGTACTCTTCTCCAAGTATAATTAGAATGATCAAGTCAAGGAGGATGAGGTTGGCAGGTCATGTAGCACGATTAGGGGAGACGAATGCGTATAGGATATTGGTGGGAAAGCCAGAAGGAAAGAGACCGCTGGGAAGACCAAGACGTAGGTGGGTGGGCAATATTAGAATGGATCTTAGAGAGATAGAATGGGATGGCGTGGTTTGGATGGATCTGGCTCAGGATAGGGACCAGTGGAGGGCTCTTGTGAACACGGTGATGAACCTTCGGGTTCCATAAAATGCTGGGAAATTCTTTAGTAGCTGCAGAATTGGCGGCTCCTCCACAAGGGCTCAGCTCCATGAGTAAGTAAGTAAGTAAATTGTAAAAGGATAATCATTGTCATGTGCTTCCTGTCAGGCTTGAGGTTCTCACCTTGGTGGTGACTGTGAAGAGGTCTGTCTTTCTGGAGGAATACATCACCGTCACTTTCAAGGTCGAGAAGTAAGCCAAGCAAAAAAAAAAAAAAGGCTGCTTCTACCCTGAAAGTGGAGGCGATATATTCCTGCGAAAAGTACTTTGACTTTCACCTGGCTAGACGGCGTTACATCTAAAAATATGGACATCTTCATTGTTCTTTCGTTTATATTTCAACCGCTATTCTCTATTTCTCCGTATCGCTTTGTCTCCTCTTTACTTTCTACTTTCCTTGCCAGCCTTCTTTGATCCTGTGGCCGCTGTAAGTGACAAGTTATTCGAATGTACGCATCTCCATTTTTCAGACAACGATCCACGAGACAGATTTTCTACCCACGACACTGAAATGGTAGGACCATCATGTTGGATTTTTGGCACCTGAAACGAATAATATTATAACGGATTTATTGTAAGGATAAATGTTAAATGCCTTATGTTTATATGAAACAATAAGTGTTCTTTTCACAGATACTATATTGAAATAATTGTATTACACTACTCTATTGAATTTATTTTGTAACCTAATGCATTTCGTAATATCAATTTAAATTGTTTTAAATACGCATGTTTGTAGGAACCAACAATGACAACAGGTTTCAACAAATCTTTGTCAGACGGAAGTTGCAGTTTGATGTGAAGTTACTCTTTCTGTAAGAAGGAAATGATATCTAGTCTGACTTTCTCTTTCCTGAACATGAATGTAAAATGTGATGGCTATTTTTAAGTTTATGAGGTTATGTGGATCTAACTTCATTGTTTTTATTTAGGTATATTTAAACTTAATGCAGTTTCTGTGTTCTAGGAAGTTGTATTTAATGGATTAATGATATTCATTTGATGCATTAAAACCTATCTTCCATTTAAGTGTCTTATTTGCATAGAAAGACATGGCATCTGAATTTTCGAATTGTCAGTTTTATTTTTACATTGTTGACGCCTACAACATTTAAACAGTCTGTTTCATCTCTATTTAAACAAAAGAGCACTAGCCGGAAGGAAAGAGACCACTGGGAAGACCAAGGCGCCGGTTTGTGGGCAATAATAAAATGGATCTTAGAGACATAGGATGGGATGCTATGGATTGGATTGATCTGGCTGAGGATAGGGACCATTGGAGGGCTCTTATTAACGTGGTAATGAACCTTCAGATTCTATAAAATGCTGGGAAGTTCTTGAGTAGCTGCAAAATTTGGAGCTTCTCATGAAGGGCTCAGCTCCAAGGGTGAGTGAACACTACTTATCCAGGTTTAAATTGCAGTAACTGAGGAGGATCACGGAGTCGTCAGCCGAGATAGCCGTTCTCAAGGTGGAATTCATATCTATTTCTTTTTGAATAAATGCCAGGTTTCTTACTGTTGAGATAACCTTCGGAGCATTGGCGTTTTTTAAGGAATAGGCCTTATCGTGTTTGTTCACAGGCACTACACATTAACAGTCTGCCGTCTTCATAAGTAAAGTTCGTTTATATTTTAAAAGTAGAACTGTTTCTGTGAATGTCCGCGTGTATACCGTGGCCTTCTGGTATATGACTCTGTGGTCTAGTATTGTTATGTGGGTACCAACTTGTCGGAGGAACATACTATGTCCATCTTCACGGTACGCAAACGAAGTTGTTGGCGAAGAATATAAATCATCTTATAAAATAAAGCTTGCGCGCACCGTGAGCAGTTCAAGTGCTACAGTTTGGAAACGTTGCCGTACACTAAGTCTCCGATTAGGTAATGAAGATACAGCGTTAACCTGAACTATTAAAATTTAGATCAAAATACGCCAAAATTTTCTGAATCAATTAGGACCGATAATTAATCTTGCAAAAGCAGCACTGCCCACCAATACGCAGCATTTTGGTTTCTTATCCCTTCCATCAGACGCACAGAACAAGTTGAAGGTAACGTCGGCGGGCTCACTCTCCACCCCCACCCCAACCACTTACGTAGCGGATCGTACGTGGTGGAGGGGAATGAGTAAGACGAAGCAAGTTGACATGGTGGATGTTTCTAGTGGCCTCTGTGTATATTTGTGGTTATTATTTGGTGTTTAAACTAAGTATACACCGTCTCACTGGTTTTGGATGTTTACGTTACCAGGACTGCTTGATGGTAAGTAAAATTATGTTAAACGTCTGATTATTAACTGTTGAGTAGATGTCCACATAAATGTTTTGTAATGGAATGAGATAGTGTCTGAACGGTGATAAATATTGCTTATAGCCAGCTGCAAAACGCGACTCAATATGGCTTTCAATGTGATACTTTCTCCAAACCTTCAACGAGATTTAATGTATTGTGTATCTCATTTTAACGAAGTTTTAGATTTTTTAAAACTTTATTAAGCTTTGTAAAAGCATGTCTTTATGTTTCGCTTGACGTGCAGTAATCGGAGTATGAAATGCAATTGGTAAGGCAGTGAGTTTCTTAGTACTATTATGTTTATTCGATATTGGTGGTCTAAAAAATTACTGGTGAGTGGTAGAAAAAGCGGTATAAGAATCGTTTAAAACACATGATTTTTTATGGGGGGGGGGGGGGGAATGATTTGAATGGAGACTAAGAAACCAACAATGATAACCAGTTCCCGACCAAGATTTGAACCAAGTACCACATCGAAGCACTCTGTAAACTGGGATGTCTTGAGCGGCATTTGACTGATTTCTGCAACAGCCGTACGTTCT